TTGTTCCTGGGACTTCTACACTAGAGATGTGCGAGCCTTTCATGTCGATGATGGATTTAGTACTACAAGAGCACCCCTTGCTTCATTACCCAATAACCCAATGTATAGGAGAAATACTCTGTCATCAATTATGGCACCACAAAATCAGCAATGGTGGTACAAACCTTGTGGACCACTCATCGTATCAGGTGCTAGTTGCCAAAGGATGGTCAGAACTTATGATATTCGTGATGGAGAGCAGATCCTGAAATGGGATTTACAGAGACCAATGTTGGCTATGGATTACTCAAGTCCTTTGCAATGGAGAAGCAGAGGAAAAGTAGTGATAGCTGAGACAGAGGGTCTTTCTTTATGGGATGTCAATTCTATGAGTCCTCAACCACTGCTTTCTGTATCATCCTCTGGTCGCCAAATTTCTGCACTACATGTAAATAATACAGATGCTGAGCTAGGTGGAGGAGTTCGACAAAGGTAAAACTGATTTAGTTCTCCTAATTTTTGCTGGTTATATCCCGAAAATCAAATTGGAACTCGAAAAAATTGCTTTCTCCTCTTATGCTTTTCTTTCATGAGTTACTTACATGCCTTGGAGTGTCTAAAGCCTTGTCTACACTGAACCTATCGTAATCAAATTTCTCTTGATACAAGTAAAAATGTCCACCTGTAATATATCTTCAATAGCCATGCAAATTAGGTGCTACCCAAAACTCTTTGCACTCTTACATAAGAACTTGAGCGGATTGAAAAGGTTTTTTTGTATTGCTTATTGGTAATTGAATAGGGGATGTGAGCTGCCTTGTTGTGTCTGTTTAAAAGAATGTAACTCACAAAAAGATCCAAGATATGTATGTATGATGTTGCTAGCACTTGATATTTTCCAAAACTAAGTTAAATTGTTTCCAAATATGGAAATGTGTCATTCTTTTTGGAATGGACTAAAAAGGAAAGTGTCATATAAAATGAAATTGCGGGAGTAGTAAAACAGGTTTATATCCCAGGACTAGTATAAAGCTATCAACTGTCTACCATGTCATATCACCCTTAATTGCATCCAAGAAGTATAATTCGAGCCTTCAAACTTGAAGGAGCAGTAGTAATGTGGAGATTCTTTTATACCTAGCACGGGGCTGTAGTCACTAGTCTACATGATTGGTTCAAAGAAGTTTCTGTATGATGTTTTCTCAAAGTCAAGTACCATTATGTATTCTAAAGAACAGTAACAACGTTCTCATTTTTAGTTCAATTAATGGGAAATTCTTTTCATCTGTATCAAAAGTTTAATGCTACATAATTGAATGCAGGGTTAGTTCCTCTGAAGTGGAAGGAAATGATGGCGTGTTTTGCACTACTGATTCCATCAATGTATTAGATTTCCGTCACCCTTCTGGTATAGGTCTAAAAATACCAAAGGTTGGTGCAAATGTACAATCACTTTTCTCCCGTGGAGACTCTCTATATCTTGGCTGCACGACTGTGAAATCTGCTGTGAAAAGACAAGTTTCCTCACAGATCCAGCAGTTCTCGTTGCGCAAGCAGAGGCTTTGCAGCAACTATGTATTGCCAGAATCAAATGCTCACTCCCATTACATGGCTTTAACACAAGTTTGGGGAAACTCAAACTTTGTTATGGGAGTTTGTGGACTCGGGCTATTTGTTTTCGACTCATATAAGGATGATGCATTGCAATCTTCCATTTTGGATCAAAACAATGGGCAGAATTTGAGAGAAACAATTGGACCTGATGATTTGTATTCTCCTTCTTTTGATTACTTGTCATCTAGAGTTCTTCTCATATCAAGAGATCGCCCAGCTATGTGGAAGTATATGTTTTAAGTCTTTATATCTTTAGGTAGCGAGCTGTGTAAACAGCCTCCCGCATAAATGCAGGCCAAGATTGCGCACAATAGAAACCGGACCCCGCGCATAGCGTGAGTTTAATGCACCGAGCTGCCCTTTTATATTTTAGGTATAGTTGCTAAGTTATTTTGTAACTTATTATGCTTGACGCCCTTCTGGTTTGAGGCCTTTTGTGTGCTATTTACCGTAATCCATTCAGTGTGGAGAAACTGCAGAAGATTTGCCCTTATAGCAATGAGGACATTGCTAATTTATAACTAGCCTTTTATTTTGTTTTCTTTTGTTTTTGTCTTTTGGATGGAACATGTATATATTATACACTTTATATATTTCAATCATTCCAAATTAAAATTTCAACATGTTTAAACGGTCATAGCTGAGATTTTAGGAAAATATATTAGTAGTTTGGTGTAGAAATAACAAACTCTCACACATGCGTGCGCACACTCTTTCTCTCTTGGTAATCTAGAGTTTTAACATATTTAATCAAATGGGTGATCATGAGTCAAAGCTATCTAAAGGTTTACCGTTTATTGTTCAAAGTTGACTCAAGTTTCTTTGCTTAAAGTCTTAACTAATAGGCTCATTTATTCATACTTACATAAATCAGTACATAGATATATTTAGAATGCTCGATTTTACTGTGTGTATAACAAACGGAAAGAAAATACCTATAGTTTTGTAAGTTAGGAATGCACTGAACAATACATGAAGTAAATGGGCACATTTAATCCACTCGAGCCTATTTTAACAGAAGCCTATTGTCACGACCCGAAATTCCCACCTTCGAACCGTGATGAGGCCTAACATTTCACTTGCTAGGCAAGCCAACGTTAGAATAATATTAACTAATTTTTAATAATAAAAAAAATAAATGCGGAAGCAAAGTTTGAAATATAGTGAATAATCCATAAAAAAACAACGGTGTCTAAATACCATCCCAGAATTGGTGTCACAAGTGCACGAGCTTCTAGAATAATACAAATAAAGGTCTGAATAAAATGAAGCTGTCTGGAAATGAACACACAGCTAAAGTAAAATAGACAGAGACTTCAGAACTGCGAACGCCGTGCAGTTATACCTCAAGTCTCCTCTGAGTAGCTGAAATCCGAGCAAGTCTATGGTACGCCGCTGGGACCAACTCCGAAATCTGCACAAGAAGTGCAGAGTGTAGTAACAGTACAACCGACCCCATGTACTGGTAAGTGCTGAGCCTAACCTCGACGAAGTAGTGACGGGGCTAAGGGGGTTCACTTACATTAATCTGTACGCAATATTAGTAACAACATCAATAATAGAAATAAATCAGGTAACTCATTTATAATGGTTGAAGCCAACTCAGCAGTTATAACCAATTATCATTTCCATCAATTCTGTTGCAGCGTGCAACCCGCTCTCACAATATATTCACATTCAATTCTGTTGCAGCGTGCAACCCGCTCTCCCAATATTTTTCTTTTAATCAAGTATGTCATATATTTATTTCAATCAAGTATATATATAGACTTTTAAATAAGTCTGTTGCGGCGTGCAATCCGATCCCCCAATATTGACTTTTCAATAAGTCTATTGCGGCGTGCAATCCGATCCTCCAATATTAACTTTTTAACAAGTCTGTTGCGGCGTGCAACCCGATCCTCCAATATTAACTTTTAAACAAGTCTGTTGCGGCGTGCAACCCGATCCTCCAATATGGACTTTTAAACAAGTCTGTTGCGGCGTGCAACCCGATCCTCCAATATGGACTTTTAAACAAGTCTGTTGCGGCGTGCAACCCGATCCTCCAATATGGACTTTTAAACAAGTCTGTTGCGGCGTGCAACCCGATCCTCCAATATGGACTTTTAAACAAGTCTGTTGCGGCGTGCAACCCGATCCTCCAATATGGACTTTTAAACAAGTCTGTTGCGGCGTGCAACCCGATCCTCCAATATTGACTTTTAAACAAGTCTGTTGCGGCGTGCAACCCGATCCTCCAATATGGACTTTTAAACAAGTCTGTTGCGGCGTGCAACCCGCTCCTCCAATATATTCATTTACCAATTCTTATAGAATAAATTGCCCCAATAAATGCAACAATTAATATAAAATTTTAAAACAACAAGCATTCAATAGTTATGATTTAATTATGAAACAAGCAATGACAATTAGCAATTTATTATGAAAATCGGGGAGAAAATAGACAGTTTAATATTTAATATGCTAAATGTCAAGTAGCAATTAATTCACATAAATCAAATAGCATGTAACAATTATTGCAAGAATTCAAGAATTAATATTTGTCAAGGAATAGGAAAGAAATAATTATTATAATAATTAATTCGTGTCTTAGAATAATTTATAATTTTCAAATAATTATGCAAATAATTAATTTGACGACGTATAGACACTCGTCACCTCGCCTATACGTCGTTCACATGCATTTCACATAACAAATAATTTAAGGGTTCTATTCCCTCAAGTCAAGGTTAATCACGACACTTACCTCGCTTTGCAAATTCCAATAAATTACTTGACCACAGCTTTTTCTTTTAAATTTGTCTCCAAAAGCTTCAAATCTATTCACAAATAATTCGATATACTCAATACAAATCGTAGAAATTAATTTCATATGAATTTACTAAATTTTCGGATAAAAATCCGAAATTCACTTTAAAAATTGACAGTGGAGCCCATATCTCAAATCTCGAAAAAACTTACGAAATTCGAACACCCATTCCGAGACGAGTCCAACCATATAAAAATTATCAAATTCCAACATCGGATTGACCTTCAAATCTTCGTTTTACATTTTTGGACGGTTTTGTAAAAATCTGATTTTTCTTCCATAAATTCATGGATTTATGATGTAAATGAGTATGGAATCATGAAATATAATCAATATAGGATAAGGAACACTTACCCCAATTTTTTTCCGTGAAAATCGCCCAAAAATCACCTAAACCGAGCTCCCAAACTCAAAAATGATTAAAATGGCTAAACTCCCCGTTTTATGGGGTTTCTAGCATTTTCGAGCGCCACAGGTAGCGTGGGGCGCTTCCTGTGGCGCACTTTCCATAACACCAATAATTCCCAGCGCCAGGGCTAGCGCCCCACGCTACCCTGGGCGCTGGCGGCTACGAAAAATCTTTTCCGATACGAAAATGGGCATAACTCTCTCATACGATATCCGAATTCGACGATTCTTTTTGCTATGGTTCCAAAATTTCAATACCGATCTAATACTTCCATCAAAACTGAATTTGAAATTCATTTGCTTAATGGGATACCACTTATTCTTGAAGAAACGACGTCAAACATTCTTGAAATGCCAAAATTAAATTCTGTTGACCACCCGAAATCCACCCGAGACCCTCGGGATCTCAACCAAATATACCAACAAATCCTAAAATATTATACGGACTTACTCGGGGTCTCATATCACGTCAAACGACGCTAAAATTACAATTCACACCTCGATTCGATCTTTTGAGTTTCCAAACTTTTCAATTTGCAAATCTTGTGCCAAAACATGTTAAATGAATCCGGAATGACTTTAAATTTGGCACACAATTCAAAAATGACATAACAGAGCTATTCCAATTTTTCAAATCGGATTCCGACCCCGATATCAAAAAGTCAACCCCGTGGTCAAACTTAGAAATCTTTAGCCTTTAAATTGCTAGTTCCGTTAAATGGTCATAACTTAAGCTAGGGACCTCCAAATTAAATTTCAGGAATACGCCCAAGTCCCAAATCACAATACGGAGCTACCGAAACTGTCAAAATACTGATCCGGGTCTGTTTGCTAAAAATATTGACCAAAGTCAACTCACTTGAATTTTAAAGCCCTATTTTATATTTTAATCCATTTTTTTCACATGAAAACTTTTCGGAAAATTTTACGGACTGCGCACGCAAGTCGAGGAATGATAAATGGTGCTTGAGGTCTTAGAACACATAATTACTTATTAAATTTAGAGATGACATTTTTGGGTCATCACATTCTCCACCTCTAAAACAAACGTTCGTCCTCGAACGGAGTTAGACAAAAAATACCTAAGCTAGAGAAAAGGTGTGGATATTTACTCCACATGTCCGACTCGGACTCCCAGGTAGATTCCTCTACCGGCTGACCTCTCTATTGCACCCGAATTGAAGGATAACTCTTAGACCTCAACTGTCGGACTTGCCGGGCTAGAAAAGCCATCGGCTCCTTCTCATAAGTCAAATCTTTGTCCAATTGGACCGAGTTGAAATCTAACACATGGGACGGATCACCATGATATTTTTGGAGCATAGACACATGGAACACCAGATGAACTGCTGATAAACTAGGTAGTAATGCAAGCCTGTAGGCTACTTCACCCACCCTTTCAAGAATTTCAAAGGGTCCGATATACCTAGGGCTCAACTTGCCCTTCTTTCCGAACTTCATTACACCTTTCATAGGTGAAACCCGAAGCAATATTCGTTCTCCAACCATGAATGTAATATCACGAACTTTACGGTCGGCATAACTCTTTTGCATAGACTAAGCTGTATGAATCGATCCTGAATAATCTTGACCTTATCCAAGGCATCTTGTACTAAATCGGTACCCAACAACCGAGCCTCTCCCGGTTCAAACCAACCAACTGACGATCGTCATCGCCTTCCATATAATGCCTCATATGGAGCCATCTGAATGCTTGACTGGTAGCTATTATTATAAGCAAACTCCGCAAGAGGCAAGAAATGATCCCAAGAACCTCCAAAGTCTATAACACAAGCGCGGAGCATATCTTCCAATATCTGAATAGTGCGCTCTGACTGTCCGTCAGTATGTGGATGAAATGTTGTACTCAACTCCACCTGCGTGCCTAACTCACGATGTACAACCCTCCAGAAATGTGAGGTAAACTGCGTACCTCAATCTGAAATAATAGACACGGGCACACCGTGAAGGTGGACAATCTCACCAATGTAAATTTCAGCTAACCTTTCTGAAGAATAGGTAACTGCTACCGGAATGAAATGGGCTGACTTGGTCAACCTGTCCACAATGACCCAACTGTGTCAAATTTCCTCTAAGTCCGTGGGAGTCCAACAACAAAATCCATAGTGATACGCTCCCATTTCCCTCAGGAATTTCTAACTTCTGAAGCAAACCACAAGGTCTCTGATGCTCGTACTTAACTTGCTGACAATTCAGACACCGAGCCTATATCCTTTTTTATTCTCCTCCACTAATAATGTTGCCACAAATCTTGATACATTTTGGCGGTACCTGGATGAATAGAATACCTGAAACTGTGTG